AATATGTTTTCCATATTGCAGTCATTGAAGTTCTGTTACAGGTTTAGGATTTTGGAAAATAGAAACCACAGGCTGTGTGGCCTCTCCTCTCATTTTTCATCCTTTCCTTTCTCTTCCCTTTTCCTCTTTCTCTCTCTCTTTTTACATCCTATGTCACCACATCTCTCCCAGAACCAATAATTTCTCTCTCTTTCCCACTCTCTCTCTCTTTCTCTCTCTGTAGCTATAGAGCATCCTAGAATGTTGGCATACTGGTCCTCCAGAGAGTCAAGTCTCTGTGACAACTGCTGTGGTCACCGTGCCTTCCATCACTAAGTGCTGGCCAGATTGTCAGTCTGAAAGTCTGCCTGGCACCACAGTTATCTATAAGCGCTGCATACACAAAGAATGTTTATAGCTGGGGATGTGTGTGCTATGTTAAAAGCAGACTTAGTTGAAATTATTTTTGTAATTTGAGCCATTAGGCAATAACTATTAAACATGTTTAAAATAATCCATGATTTTTTTTAGATATAACTGCTTCACTTAATTTGAAAGTTTTCCTTTGTTTACTTTATGTATTTCATGTTTTACTATCCTTTTGCTTTGGTTTGATGAACATCCCAAATAAAAATTACATAGTGTCCATTCAGTGTTTCTCTTGTCCACTTTCCACCTTCATGTTTAATTTTTTTACTACTTAAAAATGAGCTTAAAATAGTACTCTGCCCCTCACATGTCACTCTGAAGAATGAACGGGTGTCTAGAGCCTGTGATATGTCTTAGAAAAATGCACGTTTCTCGTGTTGATGAGGGAGCTGATGACCTCTGTAACCTTACATGTTTGTATTTGTACGGCAATGGGGTAATTCAATCAACACATGGAATAGACATTTGCTGAACACTCAGATATGTCCATGATTTGGTAAAATGAACTTCATCTTTCTTCACTTCCTGTATACCTTTGTAAATGCAGCACATGAAGCTTATAATGCATGGACCCGGGGCGGTTGGACAATTTAACAACACTGTGAAAAATGAGCATTCACTTGCAAGGCAGGGGATGAAATAGATATAACACCATTTACCTATGAGCTTTTAAAGGCCCTATGAAAATGTTGAATCAATAGTTTCAACTTATAAACAAGAAATAACGTAGAAAAAAATGTTTAATTAAGTTTCTTCAAAATGTTTGGATGTCTTGAAATACATTTCCTATGATATGGTACAGAACCTCTAAAAGTCAAAATGGTCTTAGAGTGTCTCTGCCATATGCATCAGAATAAAATGGAATAATCGCATTTTATAGTGACTACAGTTTTTAGACTAGTCACTCACGTATCCATTTGCCCACTTATTAATTTGCTTTACTAATGTTTATTAAGCACTACTATGTGCTGAGTACTGAACCAGGCTATGAGGGTGGTAATAAAAATGACAAAAGCAACACCTTTGCAAGAGCATATTTTGTACCAGGCACTATTTTAAGCTTTAAACTTGACACACATTCAATGCTCTCAGTGCTACAAGAGAGTTGATTATTTTCCTCTATTTCAACAATAGAAAACTGAGGTGCTCAGGAGTGAAAGACTCACCAAAGTTTACAGAGTTATTAAATAACAGCAGAGTCAAGATTGGAACCCAGGTGTCTTTCTCCAGAATTTGTGCTCTGACCACTCAACCATCACACCATACATCTGGGAATGCCATCGCGCCACTTTGCTTCTGGCTGAAGAAGAGCAGTGGTAGCCTGGCTAATCTTGTACAATGTGATAGGAGAGGGAACTTCGGGGGCTCTGGAGGCTGGGGAGAAGGGAGTAACTAGCCCAGGATGTTTGCATTACTTTTTATTGACCCCCAAATTAGCCAAGGATCTATACAATATTAAATCTCTTCTTAAAAATAATTTTAATTTTAGATGAAAATTTTTTCTGTTTTTTCCAACTTTAACTTTTTTCTCTAGGGTGTGATTAACACTTAAACTTGGTGAATCTTAATGTCTCTGTAGTTTTTAAGCAAAGCATCATAGTTCAAGAAAGCTGATATTTATAGAATCAGAAGTAAGACATGAGAACAAAAATGACAGTAATTTCCCCTTTATCTTTTCAAGATTTAAAGCCAGACATTTTTGATATTAAAATTATATGAATATTCTTAAGTTCTTGAAATCATTAGTCATTTTTGTGGTCTCCTTGGACTATTTTCAATATCAGGGATAACAGAGCAAATGAATGCCATCTTCAATAAAACTAGGTTGGACAACACTCTGTTTTCAATTCAGATTTTAAAAAGGGAGGATTTTTAAATAAAATTGTGAATAGTTTCACAATGCATTATAGATAAAACAGTGATATTCCTGTTATATATGTATTATTTTATGAGCTTTGAAATTTTCTTTACATTTCTCTTTAAGTATTGTCTATCTAATAGAAAAGCAACACATCCTTATGCAAGTCAATTTCAAGGCCGGTATTTCTTGACTTAATGTCACCATTGTGTGTTTCCATAGTCCAAACTTATGCTGTTAATGGCCTGTAGGTCTTGGGACTTTTAATTTTACTAAAATATGATATAAAACTAATGAGTTTTGTTAATATGATACTAACGTTGGACGCTCTACAATTGTATTTTAACTAATGCCTGTATAGGATTATACTATTTACCTCAAATTGGGCTGTAGGGATTTCTTTTACTTTTTCACAATGACATATCAATAATTAAGTATAATATCTATTTTCAAAATATTTAATTAGTAATATCTTCCATCAGTTTAACAACATTAAGTAATTTGAGATGCTTTCTGTTCTGCCAAACTGCAATGCCTTTTGCATATGATTTTCACTATGTGCATTGCCCAACAGGTTTTTTATCATAAATCTTTATTATCGAAAGTTAACACCTCACAAGGGTTATAGAGGCACTTTGAAAATTACTTACTACTGGGGGCCAGCCCGGTGGCGCAGCGGTTAAGTTCGCACGTTCCGCTTCTTGGCGGCCCGGGGTTCGCTGGCCCGGATCCCGGGTGCGGACATGGCACCGCTTGGCATGCCATGCTGTGGTAGGCGTCCCACATATAAAGTAGAGGAAGATGGACACAATATTAGCTCAGGGCCAGGATTGCTCAGCAAAAAAAGGAGGACTGGCAGTAGTTAGCTCAGGGTTAATCTTCCTCAAAAAGAAAAAATAAAGAAAGAAAATTACTTACTACTTAAAGTGACGTTACAAGGACCAGCATTCAGTGATGTTTAAAGGGGTCATCCAGGCATTCGATGCCTTTCCCATGGTTATTGTAAACAGAACCATTATATGGAATTGTTTCCTGCTCTCCTCTGCCCTTCTCTCTCTCTCTTTTTCTTAACAAGGTAGATAATATTGAACCAAACAAGGAATTTACCTTTTATTCTGAAAAAAAAACCACTCTCCAACTCTAAGCAGAAGTTAATATCTAAAACAATCACAGTAAAGTTGAATACTTTGTGTTTCTAGTATGGGTTAACTTCATACAATACAGTTTTAACTTTGACACAAAATATCTCTGAATGGGTGAACTCAAACACCAGCATAAAGCATTCCCCGTTGTTTTTAGGGATGCATCATGTCCTCCAGCACTGCGGTGTAAGCAGGAGAAATGTGCTGTTTGTGAATGTGGCTTTTGTGCAGTTTCTATTTTGAGTGTTTGATGAAAAGTCTCTAACAGAGCATTTTTCATTGAATGGATATTTATCTTTGTATTTTTTAACCTAAAGATCACAAATGACTTATTTTCACTGAGGAGATTATTATAACCCAAGCATGACAGTGGTGGCAGGCATAGTTTAGTACTATGTTCGAGCTCTTTTTTGTTTCTAAGTGTTGAAGCAGTGGTTATGAGGACTCACTGCCTAGACCTTTGTGAACAGAGAGGGTGGAGGTGCCTCTCTTTGGTAAAAGACTGGGATGATGTATGCCTTAATCTTGTACTTGGTTGTGTTCAAGTTGCAAAAATTATCATTTCACCTTAGAATAATCCAAAAATTAAATAATTGACCATCTTCACTGTGAAAATACAAGGACTAAACAGCTACAAAATTTATACCTGGAATGTCAAAATAAATGACGATTGTCAGCATGAAAAGAGAAAGGGATTTTTGTTTAAAACTTTAATCCCTCTTGTTGTCCACAGCTGCAAAGGGCAAGGTACCACTAAGCCTACTTGGATGTTTAAGCAATCAAAGTTTGTTGATAAAGGAAAACAGAACGAGGAGCAGGGAGAAAGGGGAACAGCAAATCGGTGCTTACAACATCCACACCACAATCAGCAGGGGAAGTCCCAATAGTGTGTATGGCGATGGGAGTGCCGATTGTCTGGGTCTGAGGCAAAGCGTCCTTTCCTCAGTGAGACTCCCAATTGTTTTATGCCTGTGACTCCCTTTTATCCTAAGGTTTCTCTGGGTTCTGACTCAGGGTTTCAGACATTTGCATATTTTGGGTTATTTCTTCTTGTTCCCATGGATGGGGTGCTTCTATCATTTTTGTTCCCATGGATGGGATGTTTCTGAAGTCCAGTCAGGTGTCCGTGGGGGTGGCCAGCCCAGACAAGGAATGTGACGCACAACCTATTCTTTGTAACTCGTGCCTTAGAGTCAGAGCTGAAGTGGCCATCTTTGGCCCCAAACTCAGACACATTCCTTTACGTAGGGTCAAGGCCCAGTGTCCTTGGAAGGTGGGGAGGTCAATGAACTCTGTACATTATGGGCCCTGACACCTCTTGTCATTCTGATTTTGGAACAATAATCCAGAAACCCATAAATTTTAATTCTCCTCTGCATGTGTAAAATTCTTAATACAGTTCTACAGGTTTTTACCACATCATTAAAATATGTAACCATTACATCTGGTTTAAATTTGACCCATTCAATATAATTTTGGCAGAAAGGGGACAGTCTTTTATTTTAATTGTTTGAATGAACGTGAAGCATGCTGTTGAATTCTAGTAGTAGTGTATCTAAATAGGCGCATGTCCTTTTGTTTGTGTCTTTTAGCATCTCCGTCAATTAAACTCTTGGTGGATGACCCTATAGTTGTAAACCCTGGAGAGGCCATAACCTTAGTGTGTGTTACGACAGGAGGAGAGCCCGTACCCTCTCTCACCTGGGTTAGGTCCTTTGGGACTCTGCCTGAAAAGACTGTTTTAAATGGAGGAACTTTGACCATACCTGCTATCACCTCAGAAGATGCTGGTACCTACAGCTGCATCGCCAATAATAACGTGGGAAACCCTGCAAAAAAGTCCACCAACATCGTTGTGAGAGGTAAGTTTGCCTAGGGAATGTGACAACATAGATTTCTGGAACAGTCAGGCTATCACAAAGCAAATAATGTTTGGTATAGAAATATTTCTTCAATGTTCCTCAAATATTGCCTACATATGTAACATTCATAGAAAAGTATTTATAAATGATCAATGATGTCTAATTATAAATGGAACTTAAAATTCCTAAATCCTAATAACAATGTTTGATATTTACATTGAATAGTTTTCATAACATATTCTTAGTGATACCACTGAATAGTTTTTATAACACATTCTTAGTAAAAAAAAATTATTAAAATACAAATGTGGCATAGAGTTTTAAGTATCGCTATACAGATTGTGTATTAGTTTAGGGATTTAACAAATGTATCAGTTTAATGTTTAGTAAACATTTATTGAATCCCAATTACAAGCAGAGCTTTAAATTGTGCGATTATTTAGGGATCTATAAAACATTACTTTGTACTCATGGATTCTGCTGCCAGATAGTGAAAATATAGTATATCAATTAATAGCCATATGATACAGTGTTTGGCAAGCATAAGCAAAAGCAATAGAAATATAAAAAAAAAATTATAGTAGCTTCTGGCTGAGGTCATTAGGAATATCTAATGACGTTTACTCTGGGTTTTATAGGCTGGAAACAGCCTATAAACAGGGAAAGATAAGGAAAAGTCAGAGATAGTGAAGGTCAAAGTTTATCTAAGGAACTGATGTAAAAGGTCGGTCTCTGAGTCAGTCGTAGCACTGACATTCCAGTGCGGCTGCTACCAGCTGGTGCACTGGTGCTACGTGTAGAGGAGACCTATCTCTCCGCTTCAGAGGACGTAAAGTCACTGTGCAAGGACGGCACATGCTTCTTCATGTCTCACTTCACCTGGCACGGTCTGGGGTTGGGGATGGAGGATGGACATGGATGCCCCTAAAGTTAAAATAGATATCTATATGGCCAAGAAGGCCCTTCTGGGAGACAAATGAAAATTTCTCACGATGGAGGATTGATGGAAGCAAAACATGTCGAGGTTAGCATTTATGATTTTGTGAACATAGATTGTGGTGCTGTTAGGGCCCATAGTTATCTGTTATCATCCAAACTATCAGAATATGCTACTTGGCCAAAGATATACTCTATTCAAAGTATTGCAAGGTCTGATAGTGTAAATCAAGACACTGTGAATAGCACACTATCTCTACAAAATTGTAAGCCAAACAACATTAAGTAATTGCAGGATGTACCTTTATTTTATGTATCAAAATACGTAAGACCAATTAAGCTACCACAATGTTTTCTTATGAGGTGGAATATTATTGAAAGACGTCTTTCAGATTGGTTTATACTTAGGTTTTCTTCTAAACCATATATACCCATTAGCATACATAAAAAGGAAAATAAAAATAGATTGGTTAAATTATTCTTAAAACTTCAGACTCAGAACCAACTCAGCTTCTAAAGCCGTTTTCATCCCAGTCTTTGATGCCTGTGGTTTTCTACACAGCTGCTTTCTTTCTCATTAAGAACATTTATCACCCGGAATTCTAGAGACATGTTGTCTCTGTGGTTTCCTTCAAGCCAGGTCACCACTGCTGTGCTTTGCTGATAGCAACTGCAAGAGGGTTTTGAATGTAAGATGCATCCTGATTTTAGAAATATGAAAATAAATAAGGATTTTAAGATCAGTGAAATGTGATCTTTATGTCAGTTGTTTAAGAGACTTTCACTGGACAAAGACCATATGCTCAGGACTCAGCAGTTGTGTAAGGGATGCCTGGGGGTGACCACAAAGACCAGTGACCACATCCCTACCCTCAGAGGGGTTTACAATTATGTAAGGAAGGGGCAAATACAAAGGATAATATATGCAAATAAATAAAAAGACAGGGTCCGCAAATGGAAGTATTCCACGTTCCTATTTTGGATATCTAAGCCTTGTCTCAGTGAGTAACCAGGTTCTGTTTTCCCTCCACCCAAAACTTAAAAAAAGGGAAAAAACTGTACAAATCACCAATGTTTATTATTTCTGCTTTTCATTTGCTTTTAAATACTTGCTTCTCCAAGTAGCCATGAAATGATGCTACGAAATCTTGCTATAATAATTGTGAGATTGATTAAAGCATTGCAAAAATGTCCTTAAGTGTTATGCATGCAATGTAGAATCTTTTATTCCATTATTTTATCAAGGGCAGGAACACACTAGAAAAAAAATGATGCATTAAATTTAGTTTGACCATAGGATCATCTGTAGGTATATAGAATTCATGTACCACTGGCAATGTGTCCAGCATAAAATATCTGTGTTGCTGAGGCCCCTTGAGTCAGGAAAGGACTGACTCAGGCCACAGCAAGGATCTGCTCCCAAGGGCTTGCTCCTCCCCATCCCGTCTAGCAGTTTTCATCAGTGTTCTTACAAAGGACAGTTTCCAACTTTGACTCAAATGACCTAAAATAAATAATGCCCATAAAATGTATTTCTCCAATTTATAATTTCTTTCTCATGCCTTTGATTCATCTGCAGTGTACAATTGCATAGTCCTATTATATTACCAGTGCAACCTCTCAGCAGTGGCATTCACATAATTCATAAAATTGAGTTTGTATGTCATCTCACTGAATATAGAAATAGCCTTGCTTAACGGGTCCTAGATTAAACTGTGGGGAGAAAAACCGCTAGAGTAAAAGGAGGCATCATACTCTTGCCACAAAGGCCAAGAAATTCAGTTAAAGAAAAATGGTTTTCTTTTTATTATATCAAAGAAATTCTTTTCAAGTCTTCTGATTTGTAGGCCTCTGCAGTGTCTCAGATGAACTGTGCCGTGGATACAGTGGAAATAGAGCTCTGGGTTTATTTTCTTCCCGTTCTTTTCTGAAATTAAATCAAGATCTGTAGACCAGATTTTTGGAGCAAGCACCAGGATATTCTGTGCATAGAATTCCCGTTACTATTTGAGAATATCTGTGGACAAAATAAGAGTGTAGGTTGCAGAAAGGAATAAACCTCTAGAAACATTTCTGAACCCGTCATTTGATTTTTTTTAAGACAGAGAACAGTATTAAGTAAATACTGTAGACAACACTCTGTGTAGATAACAAGCTCCAAATGAAGAGGAATCTCGTCTGTTTTAATATCTCATTAGAACATTTATAAATATAGCTGCACTGTCTTTGCGTGTGATCCTTTAAGAACTGGCAGTGACCAAGCCACATTTCTCCCAAGTCACGGGAGAAGCAGTTGCTTAATATCTTTGATAAGAAAATTATGTTGATTTTCTGGTCCCATGCTGGGTGGCCTGAGCTCCGTGCTTTCCAAACTCCTGTGAGATGACGTGTCAGTCCCACCTGAAGTCCTCTCATTGTGACTCACTACGCTTAGAAATGCCCACATTCCTCTGCTGTCCTGAGTTGAACCACTGTGTCAAACAAGCATGGTTCATAACATGACCAAGACGTTACTGTATTTTACTGTCCTGTGGTCTCTTTAAATCTCACTCAGTGGCTTAATCTCCCCTTGCTTTAGGAAAAAAAGTCAGGCAGACCCCATAACCGTTCTGCTCATTGTTAGAAATACCGAGCCCTACAGTACATTCACATCACAAGCACACTGCTAGTTCAGTGTTTTGGATGCATGATCCAAAATAGGAATAAAACTCTAAACCTGATTTATTGCAAAATTTTCTCCCCACCCCACTTGGGTCCACTTTGGGCTGGAGACCTGTGTGGGGAAAGTGGCGGGGGGGGGGGGGAGGGGGGGGGGGGCTTCTATGGTTGACCTCTTCCTCTTGGTCTGTCTCTTTGCCCCTCTCCTCTTCACCTACCCCTCCCTGACCAGGTAGCTACATTCTGATGTCCCAGGCTTGGGGGAAGTCTCTATATAAAGCAGTTTTTTCTTATGTGGCACATTCATGAACTCTTGGGAGATTCCTCTACTAGAAGAGACGTACATCTGTGTGGATCGAGAAGAGATGTCTATTGGTGGAATCTCCCAAGAGTCCATGAATGTGCCACATACCTTGAGCATCTTCTGCTGTATCTTTCTACTGAGGGCTTCTCTCTTTCCTCCAGTCAGCCCACAAAACAGAGCCCAAGACAAGCCCACACTACCTTTCCTCCTGTGTAACTCACATCTGTGTATCAGAAATGCTTACCAGCAAACTGTGAGAGCACACGAATCCCAGTGTGGCCACCTCCACCTTACTGCCATGCAGGTTTTGGTTTCCTGAGATATGTCAGGCACCATTTCAGGGAAAATATTCAGAGCTCTGACTGGTCCCATGAAAAGTCCCTCAGTAGGATTGAGATGAAATAGTTTCTCCTTCCACCACCTCAAGCCTGGAAAAGCTGCATTTCACAATTTTCTTCAAAGGTATCTTTCTTATCAAATTTGGTCTCTGACCCTTTTTCTATGCTTAATTATCTTTAAAGTCCAAGAATCATGGAATGGAGTTTCTTTCATTTCCTTTCAAAATCCTGCATAAGAAGGAGATCTGTTATATACTCACTATGGAATTCTGTGGATTCTGTTCTCAGTCAAAAGTGAGTCAGGAGAAGTCTATTCTGTTATCTAGTTTCACAAGAATATAGAAGAATTATAAGAATTTTCAAAATTTTTAGCTGACATTCTTAAATGTGATGATCCATCAGTGAGACCTCTTGGCTCTTTCTTCAAACTGTACTCTGGATCTGACCATATCTGGCCGAGTTCACTGTTACCCACCTTGCGTAAACTCTCAATGCATGTCCTCTAGTTAATTAAAATCACCTTTTCATTAATTTTCTCTCCACTCCAGCCCCTCTTTAGAAAGGGCTGTTTATCCACTATATTAGATAAGGTACACTAGGCTGAGTTAACAGATAGACCCATCCATATAATTACTCAAAACAAAAACACCTTAGATTTTTCCATGAGAGAGTTTGGGATATTTCTTAGTTGATAATGCTGCTAGTGGTGTCTGTGTGTTTGGTGTGGGGGGCGGTAGGCATAGAGAGTCTGCTCCAGGCAGCCA